CCACCCTTCCCCTTTCAGCCACGAATCAACTGTGGTCTGTCTACATTGGCCTTTTCTTCTCTTTTTATATAAGTGTGCTCATACCATATGTGTTTTGTTTTGATTGACTTGTTTTATTCAGCATAATGACCTCCAACTCGTCTCTCTTGTTTCATATCATAAGACTTCATTTTTCCTACCGGCTGAGTAGCACTCCGCTGTATGTACGTACCACATTCTGTCCATTCAGCTGTTCATGGCCAGTGAAGTTGCTTCCACCTTTTGGTGATTGTGAACAGGGCTCTGAAGAATGTTGGTTTTCAAGTCTCTGCTTTGAAGTCCTTTGAGTGAGTGCCTAGGGCCGGGATTGCGGCGTCACATGGTAGTTCTGGTTTCTGTCTTTTTCAAAAACCACGCCCCCTTTTTTCCACAATACCTGTACCATTTTGCATACAAATATTTTTAAGTTAATGGTCTTTTATTGGTAAAAAAAAATGTGTGTGTGTGTGTGTGTGAGAGAGAGAGAGAGAGAGAGAGAGAGACTGGCATTTATAAATTGGAATGGACGTCCATGGTAATTTCTTGAACAGCAATGTCAATGGTTGTGCTGATGTCCACAGCCAGAGCCTACTCTGTCTGCTCCGAGTCACAGTTCAGAGGGGGTTCCCTTTTATATGCTTGACAGCAGCTCCCCCACCCAACAACTCAAGGCCATCAAATTGATTCTGACTCAGAGAGACTCTTAGGACAGAGTAGAACCGCCCTTGTGAGTTTCCAAGACTGTAACTTTCTGGGAGTAGAAAGCCTCATCTTTTTCTTGTGGAGCTACTGGTGGTTTCAAACTGCTGACCTTGAAAATAGCAGCCCGGGCTGTAACCGAGGGTTCCAATTTCCAGACAGTCTTGCCACCGTTTGTTGTTGTTGTGTGTTTTAGTCATTCTATTGGTAATGAAGTTATATCTTAATGTGGTTTTGATGCTCATTTCTTGGACTGCTAATGATAAGGAGTCCTGGTGGCGATGTCAGGTAAGCCTTGGACTGCTACCCATAGGTTGGTGGTTCAAACCCACTCGCTATTCTTTGGGAATAAGATGAGACTGTGTGTTTCCAAAAAGATTTACGGTCTCGGAAACCCCATGTAGGGTCTGCATGCATTGGATGGACTTGATGGCAGTGAGTTTTCTTTGGTTGGATGGCTAATGATGCTGAACAATCTTTCATGTGCTCGGCGGCCATTTGACAGTTTGCTTTGGTGAACGATATTAGTTTTTTTGTAGAAATGTTTGAATGATTGGGACACGGCAGACTCCAGATAGCCAGTTATTTGTGAACAGTTGACTCATAGCCCACTTTTCTGGTGCCAGGACGCAGAAGGAACACCTGGTGACTAACTTCTTTGAGATGACAGCCAAGAAAACCCTAAGAAGCAGTTCTTTTCTGCAACGCACGGGCTTGCCATGTGTTAGAATCAGCTCCATGGGAGCGGGATCGAGCTTTTTGGATTTACTATTGGAGTACTACTCTATACCAGGCATCCTCAAATTGTGACCTGCAGGCCACATGCAGCCCGCTGAGGACATTTATCCGGCCCGCCAGGTGTTTTTTTACGTCAGAATAAGACATGAGCAGTGTGCATAGGAATTTGTTCATAGTTTTTTTTAAACTATAGTCCAGCCCTCCAACGGGTCTCAGGGACAGTGAACAGGACCCTGGTGTACACAGAGGCTCTGGTCCTTAGAGGAGGTGATTGCGTTGGTGGATCCATTTTACAGAGGAGAAAACAGAAATTCAAAGAAATGAAGAAACTTCTGAGTTCCTGGAACTACCAAGTAAAAGTCAAACCCAGCTGTGTGAAGGCTGCCCTGTTTTAGAACCCCATGTGCCCTTGATAGCAGACTTGCCTTTATCGTTTGTGGAAGTTGTAGGGCTTGAGGTTGCATGTCTTGGCTTTGCCACTATGGTTTGAATTGTTGGTGGCCTTGGAGTCACTTCTGACACACAATCTGCCATTTGTGCCGAGTAAGACTGCTTCATAGGGTTTAAAACCTGTGCTGTGGAAGCTCCAGTCCTTTGATTGGTCATATGGTGGTGGTGGGAATATCTCTAGCACCAGTTGCTGGAAGGATTAAATGGGCATGGAAATGCTGGAGTGGTTAGTTGCCATCAAGTTGGTATAGTTGTCAGGGACCATCAAGTTCCACTCACAGTGCCCTTTGTACATCAGAGGGAAACAGTTTGGTCCTACACCATTCTCACAACTGTTGTTATGTTTAAGCCCATCGTTGCAACTACTGTATGAATGCATCTCATGAACTGTCTTCTTTTCACAGACCGGATTCATAATCAAGCATGAGGTCCTTTTCTAGGGACTGGGCTCTCTGAATTACAAGTCCAAAGACCATCAGGCAAGGTCTCGCCACTCGCATTTCTAAGGAGCACTCTGGCTATACTTCTTCCGAGACAGATGGCAGCCCGTGGGTCTCTCAGAGTCTCAGCAAACCCTCAACCACGTTGAGTTTTGTTTATGACGCCAGAATCATGTTATTATGCAAACAGTCTGCACCTCGCACCTAACAGATTTTGGATGAGCCCCTTGACCCGTGAGCTTTAATTGTATTTTCTAAAAGGGGAAGCAGGGCCTGGCATGAAATAGCCAATGCCGACAGTTCTGACCTCCTTCTCAGGACTGCTTGCTGTTGGCTGTCTGCTTGGTCTAAACTTGGCTTTCTATTTTCTGGTATTATGGATGTGAACCATTCATTTTCCCCTGGTGATAGCGAGCTGTATATTTGGCCGTTCTTAGGGTTTCAGATAGACAGTCTGTTGCAAACCCATTTGTTGGCCATTAATCATATAAAACAACAGCATAACAGCCAAAAAATTGAGTTAGGCTTTCCCATGCATTTCTATTGACCATAAGCTAATTTATTTCCTGAGGTGGTGGCTGTGTTTCAGAAAGCAAAAATCATCAGGGACAAGACACAGCATTTAGAACAGTGAAATTCCACAGTAATTAGAACACGGGATATTAATATCAGTGTACAGTGTGGGCTAATTTGGGCTGTGGAGAGCCAGCATCGTATACATGTATGTGTAGCTCATTTTACCGTGCGTTGCTTTACTGCACTTCACAGAGACCGTTGTTTTTTGATGGGGTTTTGTTTGCAAGCAGGATCGTAGCAACCCTGCATCCAGCAGGTCAGTCCACGCCATTTTCCCCAAAGCATGTGCTCCCTCTCGCTTCATGTTGCTGTGCACCCTCTGCTAATGTTCACAGTACTCCCAGCTCGCTCTCAGTGCTGTTATCGCTTAATAGGCGACAGTATAGTGTACGCATAACCTTTATGTGCACTGGGAAGCCAGAGTAATTGTGCAACTTGCTTCATTGTGATGCTGGCTTGACTGTGGTGCGCTGGAACCGAACATGCCCTGTCGCTGAGGTCTGCCTGCTTCATTCCCATTACTGGGACGTCACTGGTTTGTCCAACACAGGAGCCTCCTGCTGTGTCCGTTGCTTCATTATTCCAAAGGCTCCCCGAGCAGTCAGACAGGTGGCAGTTTTATAGAACTTTCTGTGCTATTCTTTACATTGTCTTCCTTCTCTTGGGAGTAGGGAAGAATCGACGTTTCCAGAGTAGCGCTCAGACGAATGTCATGGAGATGACATTCCTAGATTCCGGGATTGTTGACATTGGGCTTTGCTTGCATTTCCTCCCCTCAATTCCTAGTTTGTGGTTGTTGCTTTTATTTTTCTTTATTTTTAAGCTCCAAACGCCTTCCCTGTTCTACCCTATAGACAGCAGAGCATAGTTGAGAGTGAGTCCCAAAGTACTGCTACTGGGCTTGCAGTCCATGCAGACATGGTTTTATTCCAAACAAAATATGCCTTAGTCTAAAACTTGCAAAACTTGTCTCACTCTCATTAGAATGTTTTAACAAAAGAAGATCCAAGTCATACAGTGTCCTCTGAGGGGCTGGGCCGGGCCACTTATGTTCCAGGCAGGAGGGCATGGCGACTGTCATGTGGGCTCGCCAAAGGGTACTCTTGAGAAAGGTTTCCCAAGGACACAAGAAAATCTGGAGGGCTTCTTTGGAAGATGTTAGGAAAAGGAAAACTGCTCTAAAGAGCAAAAGAACAGGGAAGTTGCCCCAGGGAAGGTTTTACATCCCAACCCTGTACCCGGCTCCTCTTTGAAAGCAGCAGGGACTGCCCTGAGAGAATGGCCGCGGGAACCCAACTCCATCTACCACTGGCCCTGGTTTTGCTCCTTCAGACCTCTTTTTGTTCCCTAACCTGAAAACAACCACACCAAACACCAGCGTTAAAAAGACCCGCGGTTTGCATCCCACTGTGCTGTTGTAACGTGGTGGGTACGTCCGAGAGCATCGGATCCTGGAGGGAAGATGGACACTCGGCCTTCAGACGCCAGCAGACTAAATGGAGGCCATCGTGAGCAGCAGGAACTTCCCATGTGTATATTTTTGTTTAGTAAAGATTTTTGTGATTTTGTGAAGGAGTCCTGGGGCATAATGGGCTTTGCACTGGGCTGCTAACCACAAGGTCAGCAGTTTGAAACCATCAGCCACTCCATGGGAGCGAGGTGAGATGCTCCACTGCTGTAAAGAGTTACAGTCTCAGAAACCCACGGGGCAGGTCTCCCCTGCCCTGCAGGTTTGTGATGACTGGGAAATGATTTTTGTAGCCATACTTTTTGGGTCAGCTTTGTATATTTTGGGCTTAACTGAATTTTTAATGCCAGAAAAGACTCTTGGCCTATCTATCCCTCCACTTCTTTTTATTATTATAATAAAATTTTACATTCGCTTACTTTTGTGCATTCAAGTAATTCTAATTTTCAAAAGTTTATTTTATGTCTGACAGTGCTGTTTGACTGTAATATGAAGTCCAGCCCCAGATTTGCAGATTCCCCTTGGCACTGTGTCACCGGAGGGCAAGCGTGGAAGAAAGAATCACAAGATGGTTTCCATCCCTAGGTTAGGATTTACTAGCTTTGCGATCGATGTCTAACCTCTCTGCCGCCTTTGGCACCTGTTGGATTTTAAGCTTGAGGGAAAAGGAGGGCACCAAATCGGGTGCGCGCCAGCAGGTGGCCGGTGAGTGCTTCCATCCTTGCGACGGCCTCCTTTGCACGTTGGCTTTTCTGTTGACCACCACATAGCTTGAGACCTTTGGGTGGTTTCATGAAAGGGAAGGCGAAGGCTCCTCCCGCCGTCTCCCTCTGGCCTCGCCACCCGTGGCGCTGGCGTGTTCCATGCTGCCTCAGTCCAGCTGACAGTGCTTCATGCTTAGGAAGGGACTTTTTTTCTGGAATGACTCATTGCTCAACGATAGAGAGGCGGACCCTTTGCCTGTAGATCCATTGTACGCTTCCGAAGGAGGCCATGTCTGATTTGCCTGGTTGGGAACGATTGTTTTATGTACCTAGGTTTGTTTTAAACTCTACCCAGGTCAAATCTGGCGTTGGGTTTTATAATGTATGCCAGGTAAAGATCGAAGCACCAGTGCACTGTCGACAGAGAAAGCAGCAGTGGCTGCAGCAGCATCTTGCCAGTGTTCAGTGGGCAGGACAGTCTCCCGGGCCATTGTCCTTTCTGTATCTCTCTCCTGCCCTGTGGAGGTGCCGGCGCCAGGGGTCTGTCCGTGGTGCCATGCAACCCCTGTGCCGCTGCCGCTGCTGAGTTCTGACTCTCTTTGTGTTAGGGTCAAATTATAAGGCGAGGGTGTTTTTTTCTTAATGAAAACCAGTGATAGGTTATGGAATATTTTTTGGGGGGTACACATACCTGTGAGAAGCAGCATTTCGTTTTGTTGGTCAGATAGCAAATCCTTCTGCTTTCCTTATCGACAGCCTGCCTGGGTCTACCCTGCGGCTTGTCGTCGTTTCTCTTCCCTCCGTGTGTGAGGATAGCCAAGCTCGGGGCTGCTCCCCGGCATCGCTTCCCCAAGAGGGATTTCCTGTATGATTCATTCGAGTCTGATGATAACACAAGGAGCTCCACAATGTCATTTAAAAAATAAAATAAAACCTCTTATTGATGCCTAGTCCAGGTGGAGACAAAGGCGGGCGTGATGCATGTACAATTGGATGGACTTGGCCTTGGCTGTGTGTGCATTCCATGGCCCCTAGTCAGAAAGAGAAGGTCATCCCTGGATTCCCTTCACTCCGAGTCCGCTCCTGTCCCCAGAGGTGACCCACCACTGCCCCCCTCTAACTCTGTGCATTTCTGAGCTTCCTGTGCGTGTCCCCCGAAGGTAGCACGATGGGACTTTGCCTCATTTACTAAACACTGAGCCTGCGAGGCTCACCCTGCGTGTTTGCTCTCTCGCGTTTCTCTGTAGAGTCTCGTCACGTAAGGTGTCTCTTGGTACTACAGCCAATTACCACGTGCCCACTGCCTTAAAAGTACGCTCGTGGGGTCTTCCTTCCTTTCTCCCTGCCCGGCCGTCCGCACCGAAGACAGGAAGGTGGTGGCCGCAAAGGAGACGAAAAAGTTGCTGGAGCCCATCAACTTGCGGCTCCAACTCGTTATGAAAATTGGGAAGTACGTGCTGGGCTTCAAGCAGACGCTGAAGATGAGCAGGCAAGACAAAGCGAAACTGGTCATCCTGGCCAACAGGTGCCTGGCCTGGAGGCAATCAGAAATTGAGGACTACGCCAGGTTGGCCAAAACCGGTGTCCATCACTCCAGCGGCCACATGGAGTTGGGCACAGCATGTGGCAAGTCCTATAGGGTGTGCACGCTGGCCATCATCGACCCCGGGGATTCTGATATCATTAGAAGCAGGCCAGAACAGACTGGTGAAAAATAAATCCCGCAATATTTTTCTTTAATAAAACTGGCCAGAGCTTGTTTAAAAAAAAAAAAGTACGCTCGTGAATCCGGCCACAGTCTGGGCCTCCGCAGACCAGCAGCACTGTCACTAGGTTCAGGTCAGGGTGCTGGTAAGCTGCTTCCGCCTGAAGGGTTGCAAGCATGATAGCCTTTGTGCTGTTTGCATCCCACCCCAGCAGACGAAGCAACTTCCCACCGATCATAAGGTAACCGGGTCTCCTGTCTGGTTTCCCTCAGCTGGCTCAGAATGAAAGTATAGGCTTGCTGGTTTTGTCTTAAGACACTTATCCTGGGGCAAGTAACTGGTGTATTCCATCCATCCATTCATATATAGACCCATCAAACATGCACATATATATATGTGTAGATGGTGAGGCTAGTTCATTTGAACCTATGCAGTTCTTGATTATGAAAAGCACATCTGGGCAGGGATGAGGGAACAGGAGTGATAGCAGGGAAACAACCGTTAAAAGATCAAGTAAAATACAGCAAAGTAAGTGCTGTTATCGTTGGTAGGTCCAGTGGGATTGGTTTGACTTTGTGACCCTCTGTACAACAGGACAGACACCTCCCGGTCTGCACCCTCCTGGGGACTGTTGTTATATTTGTCCACTGTTGAAGTCCCTGTGTCCGTCCATCCTGTCCAGGGCCGCCGTCTTTGTCGCAGCCCCTCTGCGGAACCAGGCATGCTGTCCCTCTCCAGGGGACGGTTTGTCAAAGTTTGCACGACAGGGCTCAGCATCTGTACCTGTGAGGAGCGTTCTGGCGGTACTTCTCCAAGGCCGACTGGTTTGTTCTTTGGGCGGCCCATGGCACTGTCAATATTTTTTGCTAGCACCATCATTCAGATGTATCGATTCTTCTTCTGTAGAGATGTGCTCATGAAGACAACCAGTGCAGAGGGCAACGTAGCGCAATCTGTTGAAGATCATGCATTGTCACGTAGAATATTCCAGGTGACATTTAAATGAAAGAAGTTGAGGGAGTTTTATAATAACAATGGTAGATATGTCTGAAGTACCTACTGTGAACCAGGTTTGTTTTCGTTTTGATAGTCTTCACGTGACGCCCCTGTGAGGGTTGGACTCCACATCATCTGAATCTTACTGATAATAAATCCAAGCCAAGGAGGTGTCAGCATTGGGTTTTACCCATACTGTCTGGCTCAGATCAATGCACTTAACCTGCATTTTATACTGGTTTGCTATGGATATAGCATTTGTTGTGATGTACAGCAAATACAATTTTGATCTCTGAAATACATCGCTTTTTTTGGGGGGGCAGGGTGTCTTCCTCAGGGATCGAGCATAGTTTGGGTGTGGTAGTTATGTTCCAGAATGACACCTCCTGATGGCTTCCATGTGAGGTTCTTTGTATATAATCCAGCGCTTTCCCAAGTGTGTTTATGTGAAGAGTCAAGAGAGAGACTGTTGGACCCAAAACCCTTCTCTCATCAAATGAACTACGGATCCTGCTTGGAGAATCACGTGGCAGATGATGAGGTGAAAGGTTTGGGGTCTGCTTACTTTGGCTTTGTTTGACAAGAGTTTCCCATGTGGCTTTATCTCTGACTTTTTCCATTACACTGTGGATGGACATTTGTATTGTTTTCCGTTCAGAGCTGCTATGAGTCAGGATGTCGTAAACATTCTGGTGTCTATCTTTTTGTGTCTGGTGGACACACCATACGCACAGATTTCGATTGGGTGCCCACCTAGAAATCCTGCCCTCTGAACATCCCACGGAAGGAGCCCTGGTGGTCTGAGTGCTTGAGGACTTTGGGTGCTAACCATCAGTAGTTTGAACCTGCCAACCACTCTGTTAGGGAAAGGTGTGGAGTCTGCTTCCAGAACCTTAAAAAACCCAGCGGCCCATTTTACTCTCTAACCTGTCAGGTAGCTGTTAGAATCAATGCAACAGCACCTGAAAGAGACAGAATCCCATGGAATAGACTGAACTTTCTGGAACAAAGGGCATTTTTGTGTTGGGAAGGTGAGGGAAAGTTGTTACTTTGACTTCCATATTGTTTGTTACTCTTTATACTTAAGGACTGTGTCTCTGAATATTCTCTCCATAATGTAAACGCCTATCCATAGAGGATGAAAAACATTTGAAAAATGGGCCGGATTTGCCTCTCTTTAGCCTTCCTTTTAGTGAGGCCTATTTAACAGATATGTGTTGCTGCTTAATCGATTGCCACTCATAGGGACCCCATTGGACAGCCTCTGTGGGTTTCTGAGACAAGCTCTTTAAGGGATAGACAGCCTCCTCTTTCTCCCAAGGAGCAGCTGGTGGTTTTGAACTGTTAACTCGTGTTGAGCAGCCCAGTGTATAACCACTGTGCCCTTCAGGGCTTCTCTGTGATGCCGATATTTTTGGGGAAATTGATGTGCATTACCAGTGATCTTACAACTCCCCTAAGTAGCTTAGTCAGAAAAACAATTCCTACTACCTGGAAACCGTATTGATGGGGTTCATCCAAAAGCCTGTGCCCTACTGCACCTTTTTCTTCATCCAAGTTTTGTCACACACTCCCCTGCCCTCGGTTTTAGCTCTCCAGACCTGGGAAAGAGGGTGCTTTCTGTTTCGTTTTTTGCTCTTGCTCTGTTTTTTTCCCCATCTTGTGTTGTTCGTATCACCAGATGACACCATCACTAAGACTGGGCTCCTGCTCTGGGCACACGAACTCAGCCAGAAGCGTCCAGCTCAGCTCTTCTGCCTCACGCAGCCCTTGCCCCTTTCCTGGCGGACATGAATCTCCTGGTGCAGGCTGGATGGGGACGGAGGGGAGTTGTCAGTGCTGGGAATGATGGGGGCCATGGAATATAAGTAGGAGAAGTCCCCACAGAGGCGCAGGTTTGATTTGGAAGTGAAAATAAGCAGCGTGGACCCCTGGAGTGCTCTCTCCCTGATTCCTTCGTTCCCCTGCCTGGGGAGATACCTAGTATCAAACTAGACATCATTTGGAATATATTATGCCAATAATCTTCTATTAAATTTGGAGTTCATTGCTTACTATTTCCCCCTTTCTCTGCATTTCTTTTTCAGTTGGATCAAGATCCTTAAAAGAATATTGTTTGTTGTAGTCTTTGCCTTACTAATGATAAACTTTCATGTTCCTGGGATATAAAGCCATCCTAGAGATATGCTCTGATACTTCTTATAGAGAATTATTGCCTGTTAGATGCCATTGCTATAAAAAAAAGAAAAAAAAATGTAAGTAAACTCAACCAACTTCCATTCCCATCAACCTAGTTACATCAAAGAAGGTTTTTTACTTACATTTTATTTTTTTAATATAATAGTTTTGTTGACATAATCTTACACAACCCAATATGTCTATTCATAAATGATTCTCAATTCTGTTGTTCAGTCACCTCGAGAGGAGTTATACAATCATCAATGCTATCAGCTCCCCGTGGCCCCCCTTCCTCACCCTCTTTCTTGTACCCTCAGGGAGCCGTTACTCCTGTTACTGTTTCTGAAGGGTTATCTATCTTAATTTTCCTATACCAAGCAATCTTACGTATACAAATAAGCATAATGTGAATCTAACATGATTAATGAGATAAAACAAATAAATACCTTAATAGGAAGGGGAGAAATACTGAGTAACTAGAGGATATTTATATAGTTCTCATTGGTGTCCTATTGCACCCTGGATTTATCATGTTCCGTGTGGCCCTACTGAGAGGGACCTTCCAATTACTTTGCAGATGAGCTTTGGGTCTCTACTGCATCCACGCGCCTTCACATTGAGTTGGTTGCGTTTTTATTGACTTGCTTGCGTGGGTTTGAACATCTGAAACCTCTTCACGTTGACACTTCATGATCACATTTTAATGTAAAAAAAAGTGGAGTAGAACTACTATTTAAGCCTTTTTTAATCCATCAATAAAAAAATTCATCTTTGCACACGTGGAGCACTTAGAAAAACCTACACCTTCCTAATCCATCACATTGAGACATGCACGTCTAATGAAAACACAGTTATTCATAAGTTAGTGTGTCTCTAATTGCTATAAAATTAGAGGTTTGATTTGTTCGGTTGTTATTGGTAGTCATTGCGATAATTGGGGGAAGTACCATGGACTCTCAGAGGACAAACAGCTCTGTCTTGGAGGAAGTCCTGTACTTTGGACATGTCCTCCGGAGAGGTCGGTCCCTGGAGAAGGACATTGGGCTTGGTAAAGGCAAGGGGCCGTGAAGAAGAGGAAGACCCTGACTGAGGTGGACGGCCACAGGGGCTGCCACAGTGGGCTCGGGCTATGAGCACGTGGGAGGCTGGTGCAGGGCTGGGCGGGGTTCGTTCTGCAGTACAGAGGGGTGCTCTCCGTTGGGACCAATTTGAGGGCCTCTAACAATGACAACAACAACAATGATAACTGAATCCAGATTAAGTTTTTAAACAATTAGCACCATTGGGTCAGAGGAAACAGCAACAAAAACATTTATACCTTTTTGTTATAGAGCAATCTGATGAACGATAGCTATAAATACAAATAGTACATTGGGATGAAATTCTGTGAGCAAAATGGATTCGAGCTATCAGCATAAAAGGAACTACAAATATAAAAATGAGTAGGCAAAAGCAAAGCTTCAGGTATTTTTTATATGGATTTTGGATATCAAATCCCTGACATAGAGATTATGGTGGGTACATTTAGAATCTTGAATAAAAGCAATTTCATTTTTATTTATTTCAATTTGCGATTAGTTGGGAGTTACTATATCATATCATTCCATAGTTCAGTCACATCAAGCAGCATTGTCCAATTGCTACCACAATCGGTTTCCAAACATTCATTTTCTTCCTGGACTCCTTGACATCGTCTCCCTATGACCTACCACCACCATCCGTGTTTACCACCCCCCACCCAAAACCCTTATTCTATTTGCTGTCCCAATAGGTGAACTTTCATTTTAAAGTGCCAATATTTACAATATGCCAGACACCATTTCTTGTAACTATTTAAATGTATAGTGAACAACTTTAGATGTTAACTTTAAAATGTGTTAGGGGC